TTTTTTTCCCCCCCCCTTTTTTTTTTTTTTTTTTTTTTTCCCCCCAAAACCCCCGGGGGGAGCGCCCCCCCCCCCCCCCCGAGGCTACGGCCCTGCAAATGTACCACACATCGCAGCTTTATTTCCATTAATAATAAAATCATCATTAAGTCAGAAATATTCTCGCAATTAAAAAAGTTTCAATATTCTTATTACCCAGAACGGTATATTTATTTAAAAGGAGGTTAGCTTCGCATATGTGGAACCCCCTTCGAAAAATCCTGGGTCCACCTCTGAGTTGAACTAACATACGGTTCCATTCACCTTACATGTGGATGCATGGCTCCCAAAACCAACCAGTTGTACGACACAACAGAACTCTGATACATCTAAGTTTAATTATTTGTTTGTAAAAATATTGCCCATGTCACCTTGTTAGTTTGGAGGGGTAAGCTGGGTCAAGTCCGTGTCAGAATTCTTTGAAGTTTTGCAGGAAAAATTATTCCTTTGTTTCTCTAGCTCCTACTTAAACCTGGTGTCCAGATTTTATCTAGTGCCCCCAGGGTTGCGGGATCGAGCTGCTGGATCTATCGATGGATGTATCGATAACAAAGAAGTAGAAAAAAGTCAGAATACACACCATGTTGTGGTAAAGCCATCCATTTATCTCGTGCGCTTTTGCGATCGCTTTTTACCCGACACGATATTTATCTGGAGTTGACGTTTTTGTTTCAACCTGTCCATTTTTTTCTTCCAAACCACACTTGAGTCAACGTCTGTCGGGTCCTGTAATTAATGCAAGCATTCCAACAAACATTCTCTTGGTCTTATTTTTTTCGATCATATCATGCGAGAGGCACATAAAGCCAATTTGTCAAGCCGTCACTGTGGTTCGTGTGTACCTTTAAAGCACGAATGTGTAAAGAAAATGCACTAAAGACGCTGAAGAGACAGCTGATGTGAAAGATATATGGAAAGAAGCTATTTTCTAAAGATCTGTTGAAAGTTACTGTGTATTTGAGACGCTGTCACATTAAAAAGTTAAAGTTTTGATAAATATTATAATGCTATCAGACTAACAAATTAACACGCCGCATGTTAGCGTTTAATGGAACACACAAAAGCTGATTATACGAGAACGTTGGAACAAGAGGAGGCATGTCATTCATATTAGCTGACGGCACTCAGCAAGAGTCCCCCGAGCGAAGTAGATCAATGGTATCAACGGGAAAGGGGTCTTAGTGTGTTAATCTGATTATATTCAGCGCGAGTCTCCGAGGAGTTATTACGCATTCGAGAAATTCATTGTGAAGATGTTTAACGCTTGTAAGTGTTTGGCAAAATATGAGTTCAGTGCAACGAGATATTGGGTGTTTTGATTCTCCAATGTACTTTATTCGTACTAATCCAAGCAAAACGTCCAAGTTCCCAATTTAATTCAGAAAAAGACCAAATTTCACCTCGTCTCCTGACCACGATGGAGATGTTTGAGAGATCATACTGCCACCTTACCAAGTTCTTGTGTAACACAAAATGGCTGCCTTTTGAGCGGGCTACAAAGTATTTGCAGTGATCCCCTCCCCCTCTTTTTTTTTATATGAGGGTCCTAGCCAAGACGAAGATACCATCAATTGCGATAGGTGAGATAACTGATCTGTTTCAGGTGTGACGAATGTTGTGGCACATCTACCACAATTGACCGCCGTCCAAGTAACTGTCCAAGTACCTGCAATAAAGCCGCCCCGTTCTTTCGTTCATATTGTTTGTTTGTTTGTTCGAGCACATGCCACATATATCCTACAGTCATATATGTCCAGTTTTGCGTTTGATACTTTTGACGCTATAGAAGTATATATATTTGTGCATCTTTGAAGATCTACATTTAAGTTGTAAAATACAATACAACTTTAATGTAGATCTTCAAAGATGCACATATATATATAAATATACTTCTATATCCATTAAGGTCTATGCGGTGAATTATCATGAATACTTTTGACGCTAAAACACACAGGTGTTTTGTTAATGCGACATTGCTGGTGTGGACGTTGGGTGTGTAAGTATGGTGTATTTGGAAACAAACAAAGATTAAGCAATTTTCAATAAGTTGTATCACGTGCATTTTCAAAATGTACTTCGTGAAGTAAGAAGGTATTTGATCTTGAAAATATCATAAATCTCCAGCATGAAGATTATTGATCACAACTGGTCACATGCTCATACTGTATTTCTGTACGATTCCCTTTAAATTCTCTAGTCGGCTTAAGAATGAAGTAATTTTCTTCAGTCAACAGCTAATACACCTGAGGCTACCCAAGTGAATAGCCTCTATTCAGGAGATGTACTTCTAGTTAACTTGTTCTCTTCATAGTTATAAATAAATAAATAAATAAATAAATAAATAAATAAATA